AAGATTGTGCAAAGCTGCTCGGGTCCCTTCCAAATCAGTAGTGTCTCTGCTTCCCTGTGGGCATTTCTTCTGTCTTTAATGTTGCTGCCTAAATATGGAGCCTCATGCATATGGTTAAGACACACCTTCTTTGATTATTTCAGGTAATTAGAATTGTACAACAGGAATTGCTCTGTGTCTAACTTGGGGTTCTCATTTGTCCTTCCTGTTCTGTGTGTCCCTTGACCGCCCTGCCCAATCTTCCTTCTGTTGGAACCTTACCAATAACTTATTATTTCAGTTGTCTTTACTCACTGTATTAGTTACTTTTATTTTGGCTGTGATAAAATAACTTAAAAATAGATAAATTTAAAAAAAGGAGTTTATTTTGTCTCACAGTTCTGGGAAGTCATAGCAACCAGAGCTTGGGACAGCTGGTCACATTGTGGTCCTAGCTGGGGAGTAGAGAGTTGAAAGCTTGTACCTAGCCTTGCTTACTCCATTTTGTTCAGTACAAGACCCCAGACCATGGAATGGCACTGCCCTGCTTTAAGGGGTTGGCCTACATCTACATAATTTCCCACAGAAGTACCCAGAGATTTATTTCCATGTTGATTACAGATCCCATCGGTGGACAGTCAACTTTAATTATTGACTCCCTTATGTTCTTCTGCTGGATTACTAGCTGTGTCCTTGGTTCTTAAGATCGTAAGTCAGTTGGTATTTTACTATCTGCATAAGGAATGGGAAGCAACTAAGGTTTCGTTTAGCCTTTTCTAAACTTTTGAGGACCTTATTGTCCCTTCCTGTTTTTCATTCATATTTAAAATGTGTATGTCAATAATGTACTCAAGTTGTATTTGAAATGTTTATTCTTGAACTTTTATTGCCATTATTGCTGCTATGATATATGTTTAAATTAGTCTCATGTTCACCAGTTTATTGAGTTGAGAGGTTTTTTTTTTCCCTTTAGCACTTAGGAGATATTTATTATTTCTTATCCCTTTATTTCTATTATGAGTGTTTAAAAATAAGGCGTATTTCTAATATTTACTGTTTTCAAGGCAGTCTATCTTTTTAGTTTGTGTTATTTTGTCCTTTATGGTTATTTAAATACTTTCTTTTTCTATTATTTGTGACAGTTTACTATGGTGTAATTTAATTTCTTTTTGTTTGAGGGTTTCTATGCTTTTTGAATCTTGCTAATTTTATGATTTAGAGAATCTTTATGCATTATTTCTTCAAATAGTTTCCATATGCACTATTTTTACTTTCCCTGGAGTATCACTTAAGGAATGTAATAACACACACACACCATTATCTATAGTATCCTTTGTTTCTTGTCTTTCATCCTAATGTCTCCCGTCATTTATTTCTCTTTGCATTATGCTGGAGGTTCTTTCTGATTAACCAGAATCTATCCAAGCTTCTTCCTTACTATTATTCTTTTGTACTGCCGAATTCCCTGGCCTTATTTCTTTGAATAAAATGAATGTTTTATGTTTAAAATGAATAATTTGTGTTTAAAACCTCCAACATTTAAAGTTTTCCTGACTATTTGATAATTTTCTTGTCATTGAGTACTTGTTATATTTTTTATCACGTGTCATGATTTGTTTGCAAGATATTGAAATAATTTTCAACCTGGTATAACATCCCTCAAAGAGGATTCTGTTTTGCTGGGACACTCATCTGCTGGGTCAAGTTGATCTAATTTCATTAATACAACATGAGGAAAAACACTAACATGCTCAAGGTGAGATGATAATGGCCGTTTCTGAATTATGCCAAAGCTCACAAAGTATCCCCTGTAGTGAGTTGGGAGGAAAGCAATCAAGTTCAGTATGATTCATATAGATATCGATTTGATACATAGATATACATTTTAGTTGCTTTTCAAACATCATTAAGACAACCCTTGGAGCAATGAATCTGCTCCAAGGTGGTTATAATCTGTGGTGGTTATATAACCCTTCCAGGACTTCAGATGTGAAGCTGAGGCAGAGGGGAATCATGCCTTTTGGTCATGGAAAAACTTGGGCTTCAAATCCATCCATCTGATTTTAGTTGTTATGGTAGAAGAACATCTAATATCTATGCCAGTTCTCCTGAACTTGGTTATATTCCTGGCTTTTCTGGATGTGCATGACTAGAAGACAATGCTGTTAGAATTATTTGGTTTCTTCTTTCAGGGGCAAGTTTTGAGAATGGTCACCAGGCTAACTAAAGGACTGAATCTGTATAGTGACTCCTAGTCACACTCATTTCCACATAAACACACACATACAAAAATTAGAAGCTTGGATCCTCACATTAGAGCACATGCAGTGTTTATCCTTCTGAGCCTGGGTTACCTCACTTAATACAAGACTTTCCAATCTCATCCACTTTCCCGCAAATTTTCTAGTCTCAGTATACTTGATTTTCTTTATGACTGAATGAAATTTCGTTGTATATGTGAATGACATTTTGATGACCTCTTTATTGTTGATACAAACATCTAGACTGATTCCATCCTGTCCTATGAAATACAAACACATGTATCTCTGTGCTGCGGTGTACATTCCTTTGCATATAAACCTCGGAGTGGGCTAGCTAGATCATATGACACTTTGAATCTTAGTTTCCATATCGACTCCTACTGTGGTTGCACTGGTAAACATTCCTATCAACAGATGTTCATGAGATACAGGCCAAAGCTATTCAGAAGAGTAATATATAGGGCATCAGAACACTTGTGATGTGGAAGGGCAAGGGATAATCCTGGAGGGTCTAAGAGGGGAGAGAGAACAGGGCGAGATGAGGGAGTTGATCAACTAAAACTAACCATGTACAAAAATGTCCTAAGAAAGCCCATAGTTTATATGCTAATTAGAAAATGAAAAGGAAATTGGGTGGGTATAATACATTGCTATCACAGTCAATTTAGAATTAGGACAACAAATTATCCTGTGGAATGGTAAAATTTAGCATTACATTACAGGGGGCAGTTAGGAGGGAAATTTTATTTTATTTATTTTGTCTAATGATTATAAGGTTTAAATGTATTATCTCCATGTCACTTGTGTAACTACTGGGTCACTGTGAGCAGAGCACCCGAGAGAAACAACTAAAAGAAGGAGAGGCTTTGTTGGTTCATGGTTTCAGAGGGTTGCAGTCCCTTGTATCTAGCAAGGCATGGCAGAGAAGCTCCGTCTCGTGATGGTGGGAGCTTACAGGTGTGTCTTATTTACATCTCAGTGGACCAAGAATCAATGAAGAGAGGCTGAAGCAGGGCCAGTTATCACCTTCAGAGCCCTATTCCTAGTGAGCTGCTCCCACCCTCTAGGCCTTACTTATTGAAAGTGCTGCACCCATTAAAACAGCACCAGAAGGCCTGAAGAGATGGCTCATCCAGCAAAGGAGCCAGCTACCAACCTTGACAGTTTCAACCCTTGGGACCCACATGATAGAAAAAGAGTACTGATTCCTGCAAGTTGTCCTCTGACCTCCACTTGTGAGCCATGGCCCACAGACATGTACACATGTACATGCACACGCACGCTTGCATGCACACACACACACACACACACACACTTCAATAACAAATGTAAAAATAAAATAAGATAGAGCCATAAGCTGGGTATTATGCATTCAAGTCATTAACCAGTAGGAGACATTTCAGACTCAAACAACAATGGTTTCTTAAGAGAGAATGAAATAATGTCTGTGATGTGGGGAAAGGGACTCACTGGAAAAAAGCCCAGTGTGCTCCTGTTCCTAATTGGGAGGAGGGAGGCTTTGGGGTTGAGTGATGCTGCCAAAAACTCTTTTGCACCGAGAGCAACAAGTATGGGGAGACTGCATCTCAGAACTTGGAAATGTTTGCTGGATTCATGTGTGACATTTGTTTACTGTGTTGCTTTCCTCAATGACTGCTCAGGCTGCTTCAGTTTGGATGGTTGGCTCAGTACCCAGAGGGTGTTTGATTAGCTAAGTTTTGAAGCAAACACATACACTGTAGAGGAAATTTACCCTGGAACAAATGCAGATCACTTAGTCAAAAGGCTGTATTTTCAGGTAAGTCTTCCCCGGGAGAAAATGCCACAGGAGCTCTTTTAGAAGCACAGATGAACAAAACACATTTTTTTGTACCCAAAGAAACAGAGGTGTGGCCTAACATGTGATTTAGAACCAGTCAACTTGACCTTGGAGAGAAAGAGACCATAAAAGGAGAAAATTAAGGAGTGAGACACAAGGCTGATTCTGCAGAGACTATTTACCAGGCAGAACCTTCATTGAGAGTGGCAGAAATCAGATGCAAACCAGCTTAATCACAGATATCGAGATGGAGAAGATGAACAAATTGCTGTGTTTAGCTTGACTATAGTGCATATCAATGTGAATTTATTCTTTGCTGAGTTGGGGAGAGAGACAAAATGTTCTAGCAGGTTCAAACATACTTAAAAGACTATGAACTTGAAATGAGTGAGGCACGCCTCTTGCCACAGTCCCAAAAACAATATGGACAAGTGGCCTTGATCGGAACTCATTACGATCAGAAGGCAAAATAAATCTTCCTCTTTTCAAGTTGTCAAGTTGGTTTTCCTAAGTATTTAGTCATGGGTGATGGAAGTTGATTAACACGGCTATCTACTGCTGCATGACAATTATGCCCTGAAGGGTAGAGTCTGCCAAAAGTACAGTGTCTTTTGTGATGTTTCAGTTAAGGTGTGGCCAAGGATGTGGTAGCTGAAGCTGTTGAAGAAACTGCTTCCAAGCCATTCATATGAACTGCTCTGAAACTTTGGCTCTTGGTCCTTGTTGTGTGGGTCTCCACATAGGATTGTTCATCAAAAGAGTGTAACTATAGAGGGAAACAGATGAAATAATCATAAAAGTGGAGTATCACAATTTCTGCTCTATTTTCTTTTTTATGTTTGTGTGTGTGTGTGTGCACGCGCGTGTGGGCGTGAGCATGTGCGTGTTCATTTATGTGTGTTTCAACCACCTTTGTTTCTATTCTGCTTCCTGGACCACAGGAATATTCGTTCTGATGAGACAGATTGCTAAAGCAGGCTGCAGAATCCTTTGAAATGCACATTACTCCACTTCCAAGGCCAGGACTACAGGTGAGTCAGCCATACAATTTAATGGATTCTAAAGTAGCATAGATCAGTGTCATGCCAAAGACAAAACACCGCAGACTCCAGATGGCTACGGCCATGAATCCAAAGACAGTTCTGTATACAGTGCTTAGGAAATAACCCAAAGAAGCAGAAATCTCTGGCTCTAACTAAATATAGGAGCTTCTGGGATTAATTAGAGCCCATCTTTAAAGCCTGTGTTTATTTATCTTCACTTTGGAAAATTAAACAAAAAATTTTTATTCTCCAAGTGTCATCAAAGTTGTATCATAGCCAAAACAAAAAATTAGAAAGGAAAAAGGTATAAATATCCATATGTCCATCCTTCTATGCTTTGAAAACAGCCTAGAATGTAGCATTATTTTAATCTACTAGTTTGAAGAGCAAACAAATTGCTGCCCCCTGGCTTTCCTAATATACCACATTTCTATACATATAAAAAATGCAAGGTACCAATTTGGGGACTCAGAAAGTTGGCAAGAATAGACATGTAATCAGAGAAAAGCCTTAATTATGGACCCATGGGTACTAGTGAAAATGGGATGGTTGATACCCAGTGTATTCAGAAAAATATCATTCACATCAAGTATGTTTAATAGAGGGAGCTTAATGTAGGGAAATAGGCTCGAAAAGCTGAAAAACCAGCAGACAATGACAAGAAACCCAGCTGTAGTGTGCCTCTTCCTGGGGATACATAAAGAAATGGCTGTGTGCTCCTGATAGGCTAATGACAGACGAAAGAAAGGTTCCATTCAAGTCCAGCTTGGTGAGCCAAGGAATCTATTGGGGTTATGTGCAGGAATACAGGGTGGCTTAGAAGCAGCTGTATCACTGAAAGGTCCACCTTAGCATGGGTGATAACTCATGAAAGCTGCACCACTAGCCTCCCAGTCCCTAATTAACTGCCCATCTCCTATGTACTGTAGCAACTCCCAAGGACATGCATGGTTGGGACAGGCAGGTGGGGATGGTGGATGGAATCCCAAGGAAGAGTTTAGTGATGCTCATCCCTGCTACTATGGAATAACCTCATTATTACCACTACCATGGGCTTAGTCATCATTGTATTGCTTTGCTTATTTTGTTACCACGATGTAAGCCTTGATATTCTATATACCACTCAAATGAACCACACCTGAAATTACAGAGTACCACACGTATTAAGCCAATTAAGAGTGTAAGAGTTTATTATTGGATAGTGCCTTAGAAAGATTCTTGTTGGAGAAGCTCAGGGCACAGCATTTTTAAAGCCAGAAGACCTCACAGACCACATTTACATCAATCTTAAATGAGGATCAGAGTAACATTGTAAGATCTGTTTTGGCAGAACATAGTTATTCAGATACAGAATCATTAATTAAAAGATTTATACTATTAGCTGTTATTTTTGTTTATTCTTAAATTGTACAAACATTAATTATTTCAGTTAATGCAGCCAGAACATAGTCAAGGTCGTGGAAAACCCAGAGTTGTCCAAACAGATGTGGCTGTTAATAGGGAGGTGGGTAGAGGGCTGAGAAGTGTAGAAGCAGATGCAGAATGGAGTCAGGGCGACATGGCGTTACCTTAGTCTCTCCACCATGGTGATCCAGTCTCATCATCCAATAGTCATGTCATGCCCAGTGGAAACAGCTCCACTACACTGCTTCACCCTCTTCTGGCTCATACATTAGTTCTGCTCCCTTTTCCATTATGTTCCCATAGTCTTGGATAGTGTGTGTGTGTGTGTGTGTGTGTGTGTGTGTGTGTATCAAAGGGGGAAGAGAGGGTAGTAGGAGAGGGGGAGAGTATGCATATGTAACACATACTGGGTCACTGTGCCACCCAAGCAGTATATATAAGCAAGAGCATGACAGAATAAACCACAGTAAAAGACACTTGTTCTCAGCAGCTAAAGTGTCTGAAGTATCAACAACTGCCAAGGAGGTTTTCTTTCATTATTATAGGCAACAACAGTCATCTTTGGTTGCGAATATAAATGTTCAGAAGAGAATTAGGCGAACCCTTTTTTTTAAACAAAAACAGTATTATAGCCTTCTCAAGGGGACTTATGATTTCACAATCACAAGCTTTACCCTCAAGTATATGAAACATGGGCTCTCTTCTATAGAGCAGGACTTAAGTACAATCCAAAAGTAACTTGCTTTTACCTATAACAGTAATGCCACTATTACACCAGCAGGCACATATTAGCTTGCACACTCACAGAGGAACATATGGGATTCAGAGCTAGACTGGACCCTTGGTGATCAGCCTGCAGAGTATGTTATGGCACTACAGCATACAGCATACTCACTATGGGCACTACTCTAGCAAATTTCATGGGGTCTGCCTGGCCAGCAACTCAAAGGAAATTCACCCTGGGCCCACCAATCATCCTTCCTGATCTTCACAGGTAGACACACAGACCACTTAGTTAAAGAAGAAACTGGGGCTAGCTATTACAAACTATGGAAACTCCTTCTTTTGTGATAGTTGTGGTCTGCTATCCCAAGATTTTATCCTATAGAGGTAAGGAATGATGAGAGAGCTAGCTAGCTAGACAGAGACAGAGAGAGACACACAGAGAGAGACAGAAAGAGAGAGATATCAACCAACATGTTAATTGAAAAGAAAGTGAGAGAGCTTGTTTGTACTTTATTGGTAATGAAGAAGAGTTCTTTGAAGACAAGATACTGTTCTAACTTCAAGTACACATGCCATGTGCTTTTAAATAGCTCTGGAACAAAGGAAACAATAGGGGAGCAAAAGTTTGCTGTCTTCTCAAGCACAAGCACAGGTTCTGGTTCTCTGTCATCATTTTCTCCAGCAAATCCTGCATGATATAAATTTTGCCCGTTCCTTTCAAGTGACCCAGACAAGCCCCTTTGTCTATTTACCCTTTCCTCAGCCCCTCTTAAAAGTTTTAGTACTTCACAAATCCAATTTAAATGATGACTTCACTCACTTAGGTGCTCCAAAGCTAATCCTACCTCATGAAAAAAAAAAATCATGTCCTACCATGAAACTCAATAAAGCCACTAAAACCTTAAATAGTCCTGAATTTTCCACTAAATTAAAGTATGCTTTTGAGACAGAAACTCCCTCTGGAGCCCAGATTGTCCTTCACCTTAAAACAATCTTGCCTCACCATCCTGAGTGCTATGACAGGCACATGGCATCGTCGCTGACTTAACTTCTCTTTTTACTATCGTGTCTGACCTGGGATATTGGACTTTAAACATTGCCTCTCTTGGGACCATTATGTTTATTTCATCTCCTCAGTGCTGTCCCATTTACTGATTTGCCCCAATGTGCCCAGGTGTTTGAATCTCAGGGGGGGGGCTTAATCAACACAGTTTTTAGTGCCTCCTTACCCTGATGCCCTGCCCCTAGCTGCAAGTATAAGTACCTGCATCTCATTCTTCCTCTGACCTTATTTTTCCTAGTAAATCAGGGCTAATAAGGAAGATTCTTCCACACATCTCTTTCTTATTCAGGACAGCTCCCCCTGGGCAGAAAGCACAGCATCATGTGTGTTTTATCACTCACAGCAAAGGCTTCACAACTTGCCACAAGAACTTCCTTATAACCTCATTTTGTATGTGTTACTTTCAGGGACTGCAATGCATTGCCTAGTCCATCTGGAATTTTGAGGGTATCCCCAGACTCATATGGCAGACCGCATTCACCAGGGAGGTGTGCTACTGGACACCATGTAGAAGATGGTTGTTTTAGGATTTCTTCTGTAGATGCTCCGCCCCCAAATGAAACAACCTCACTTTTATAGCACGAGCTATAAAACTGGTCCACTTAGACCTATCTTTGGTTTTGCTAATTTCTCATGTGTCTTCCTAAGTCAGTAGGGCATTGATTGTGTGTTGCGTGGGAAACCAATGAATTTACTGGTTTCAGTGGTTTCAGTGGTCATCCCATACTCAGAAGAAATTGTTTTGCTGCAACACTAGGCACATGTGGAAGTCACTTTCAAGCTAGAAATAATTCTATCAGATTTCAGAGGTCAGGTTACTTCAGGGAAGTTAGGGCCCTAGTAGGACTAGTAGAAAAAGAAAACCTTCTCAATGTATAATTAATTAGTCTGGTGTTGATTCTTAATGAAATTGTTATTCCATATGTTATCTCCTTAATAGAGCAAGTTTATGCAATGACTAAGGCAGATCCAAATGCTGGAAAATGCCTCTGGCAAATGCCATTAGCACAATTGTGACACACTCGCTCAGATTTTGGAGAAAAGCTGCTACCTTTTGCTGGGCTATTATTTTTAGAAACCTTGCTGATTCAGATTCTGAATCAAGAAGGTACTTGAATTTTAAGTTCCATGGTAAGGAATACAGAACCACAGCAAAGGAAGGAAGGACAAAGATACATTTCCCTGGCAGAACTCCATCAAATAATAAGTTTTATGAGTGTGTTGGTTTCATGCCCACTGAGACTACCATGTTTGTGATCCTTCCTCACAAGTTGTTATGGCTCTGTGAAGAGCTGCTTTGAAAAAGCAGGGTATGGGACCGACAGGATGACTCAGAGAGGAAGCATTTGCTTTACAAACTAAGTAACTTGAGTTCAATCCCTGGGAACTCACATAGGGTAGAAGGAAAGAACTGTCCTCTGACATTGCTTGTGGGGGCTTAGATGAAAACGGCCCCCATAGGCTCATATATTTCAATGTTTGGTTCCCTGTCAGTGGACTGCTAAGGGAGAATTAGGGGGTATAAGGAGGTTGTGGAATTTTTCTCAGCACTTAGGGAAAGCCACCAAAGTCAGACATGTGGTGGGGGAGCCTTTGTATGAGGGCCTGGAGAGGCCATTTCATGAAGCTGTGAAGGTGAAGCCTGGATTGCATTGAAGGCTCCAAGATGTTGGCAATGCTAGAGCCATAGGATACCTCTCAGGGAAAGCTGCAGATAAGACATGGAACCAGCCCTAGAGGAAGAAGTATGTTGTAGTCAGCAAACCTGGAAGGAGTGGAAGACACAGAGCATAGA